TATATATATATATATATATATATATATATATATATATATATATATTTATATAAACCAACCACCACACCGCCCCATAGCGACCCCAGCCACCACAGCCATCTCGCCGCCCCTACCACCAGCCCAGACCAGGCCCACAGAAGCCGGCCCCACCACGACCACACCGCAGACCCCGCGCGCTGTTCTCCGACCCTTCCTACCCTTCCTTCGTCACCAATTCACCACAAGTCCATAACCATTACCGACATCAACGTATGCGAAGAGGAGAAGGGCCAAAATCAAGGCGTGGGAAGGAGATAAGGGATGAGATCGGGCGTGGGGAAGGCAGGTAGACGGAAAAGGGACCGGAGAAGGGGAAAGGGGCTGGAATCGAGGGTTTGCAAGGTGTTTCCGGCCACTTTTAGTTTAGGGTTTTCGTGGTGGTAGGAGGGGGTTAGTGGTTCAGGGGAGGGGGAAGGAGATCGTCGGCGCTGCAGGAGAGTTTCTGGGCGGTCAACGGGCTCGACGAAGCGGGACAAGGAGTCCAGTAGCTTGGCCGGTGGAAACGGGCTGCGGGGAGGGTAGTTCTGGCTCGTTTGGGCTTTTTCAAATAATTAATTAATTTTTTTTTTATTTTTTTCTAAAAAAAAAAAACTTTTCTTAATTTTTAATTTTTAATTTTTATTTTTTTGACCAATCGCAGGCCAACGCGTGTCAAGTGACTTGTTATAACAGGTTAGTTGATCGGTTGGGACCATTGAGAGCGGACTAGCTATAAAGGTCGAATTATTTAAAAATAATCCAAAGGTGGGATTATTTTGGGCGGACGACCAAAAGGTGGGATTATTGCGGCAATTTTTCCAAAAGAAAAAGAAAGAAGAAAATAAGGAGAAAAGGGAGAGAAGTTTACCTTGGGTTTTCTCCACTCTGGGCAAAGTTGAATTGCCTCATAAGAGGGATATTTATACCCCTTCTCTATCACCCTTTTTACCCTAACTTTCCTCCTTTAGTTTTTCCTAATCCCTTCCCTACTAAAACTTGTTAAAATCATAATTTCTTAAAATAAAACCCCAACTTTTATAAAATAATTAATTAAACAAACTTTCCTTTAGTAAAATATTCCCAACTTACATGGGATAAATAATTAGAACATCATAATTAAAATACTAAAATTATTTACATACCCTTATAAAATACATATTTTAAATAAAATACGTATAAAAATACGGGGCATTACAGTACTAAAACATAGCACAATTTCAATCCAAGCACAAATAGCTAATTTCAGCGATCAAACAATTTCTTACAATATTATTAATGGCAACAAATTGAGTGAAACAAGTCTCAAAACATGATATACAAAAACATAATCCAGCAATTTCAAAGCATAAAATTCGAGAAATGAAGAGAATTAAGCAAAAATGGGTCCGAATTATTCGAATACCCGCGCAAGAATGTCTCTAAATTCGGCAAAAATTGATTTGAGTTTTAGAAAAACTTACATTGATCCGGAAAATAGATGAGATAAACTTTGACTTGCAACAAGTTTGAGAGAATTTGGTGCACAAACGAGCTAGAACAGATGAATTAATGTTCCGAGCAAAACGCGAATAGCAGCAGCAACAACCACGAAAAATGGGGAAGAAAGGGATTTCATTTTGAAAACCAGACTCCGTCGCCAGACGACGAGTTCTTTGCCAGGCTCTGGTTTTCGTCGCTTGGCGAAGGAGAGAAAATGCGGCGACGATGCTTTCCAGCGTGTGTTGGTGTTGCGACAGAACAAGTAGACCTCATGAATGATTATGTAGACCTTATGCAGCAATTTCGGGTTCCTTGGTACGCCATTTAGCCCCTATAAGTAATTTGACATGATTAAGTAATCGGCTCGATTACAATCGCATTAAGTGATTGACCTGCTGAAAGATCGTCCCACTTAGCTTAAAGCGCCTAAACATTGGCTCATCGCAAAGCACCGACATAATGGTTCATAAACAGCAAAGACACCAACATAATGGTTCACAAGCAGCAAAAAGCGCCGACGTACTGGCACCGCGGAAAATTCAGCAAATATCACGGCAGAAATGTTCAAGCGAGCTTTAAGGATCGACGGGCGTTGAACTTCTGTAATTTTCTTCGGAATATTATCGCGAAAACTGAAGATTGTTTCAAGCGAAGCAATCTTTGATCATGTTCCCTGGCTTGCGGACGATGGTCACAAGGCGATAGAAGATCGTTTCAGGAAAAACAATCTTTGATAATGTTCCCTGGCTTGCGGAAGATTATTATAGCGGAAATTGGAGGCAGTTACAGGCTTAGCAGTCTTCAGACAGTATTCCTTAGCTTGAGGGAGATCGTCAAACAAACGGAAGTCTCTTTGTTCAGAGACGCGTGGACATCTCATTCGAAGCTTTTTGGTTAGAGACGTGTGGGCATATCATCCAAAGCTCTTTGTTCAGAGACGCGTGGACATATCAAAAAGCTCCATTGTTTAGAGATTAGTGAACATCAACAAAACATCAAGATGGCGTTCCTTAGCTTGTGAACAGTTGTCACAACAACAGATGCAACAACAAATCGGTTACCCTCAGAGACGTGTGCTCGATGGTACAAGATACACATTTCTTAACTCTCTTATTTTTTTTAACTAACGCTAGTTTACAGGTATCGGAGTTACAAGAATGATTTATGATTGGAGAACGTTCTTAATCATTCTTCGTCCCTATCGTTACTTTGACTTTTGTTTTCGAAACTTGCTTTTCTCCAAACTCAGTCAAAGTGGAGGCTTCTGTAGACACCTAAATGTGTCTCCCCAAAATCGAACACAGTGATGAATACTTTTCACGTCATTTTATTATGGAGCGAAGTGAAAGTGTGGAAATTCTAATTATGAGGATGTTTTAATTAAAATATTTCCCTTTCTGTTTTATAAAATATTTCTTTTTTTTTTTCTCCTATTTATGAAAAATAGCCAGTCCAATTTGGTTTGGTCCATAATAAAGTTTCAATAATAGTGTAGTTAGATTGGGCTTTAAAAGATCTTTCCAATGATATATTATAGGCCCAATTCCGATGATTTGTGAGGAAGTTATGGATTAAATTAAATTAGGCCCAAATGATTTTTAAGGGTGGCCTTATGACCTAGAGGAGGGTCTATTAATTATATTTTTCAAAGAATGTTTTATTTAGGATAAAACATAGTAAATCTGATTTCGAAAACTGCTCGGACACTTAATTACCTACAACCGGTGTTAAAGGTAATCATGCAAGGAAAAGCGCGTTGACTTTTGGACAAGCGCGAGACGACAGAGTCGTCGCCAGGCGCTGACCCTCGTCGGTTGGCGCTGGCTCCTGTCGTTTGAGATGGGAGGAATTTTATTCCGAATATGATTTACTTCTATCCCGTGATATTTTTTTTTAAAAAAAATAGGGGTCTTATCTCCCTGTTTTCAAATCATCTATATTCATCATCTACATCAACAATCTTCTCTATTCTCACTCAAAAAGCTTGAAGCTTTCTCTCTCTCTTTTCTTTTGCTAAACCTTCCCTCTCTCAAAATTCCTCATACATTAGCTTTAAAAACATCTAGCCAAGTTCAAAGTTGTGTTTGTCCCAGACGTGAAAGGTTTGATATTTCTGAGGGCTTGGTCCCAAATCCTTATTTCAATTATTTAATTTAATTGTTTTGAATTGATATTTTCCTTGAAGTTACTAGCTAACGCGTGTATTTTGTTATGAGAAAGAGGTACGAGTCATCGAAGTAAGTGCTTTAATTGTTATTCTTTTGATATAGAAATCATGCTTAGATAATTTTTTTATTTCCTAGTATCATGTTTAGGGTAATAATTAAGTTTCTAATATCAATTATGATTATTGTGATGCTTTCTATTTCTTTCTTAATATCATGTTAGTATCATTTTAGAGCTAAAACTTTGATCTTTGATGTTTAGTTGCATGTTAGGATTTGTTATTAATCTTGTTAGTATCATGCCTATGATCTTGCTACTAATGCTATGCTTTAACATGATTATTTTGATTATGATTATAATTTATTATAATCATGTTACTTGATCATATTTATTGTTGTTGCTTGATGAAACCTTTTATGCATGTTTAAAGGGAATTTGTACTTGTTATCACGCTTAATAAGATAATTAATAATCTTGTTTAGGTTAATTTGATTATAATTCAAGTGATCGCCAATAATAGTTTTGTTTGTGCATTAATATTTAACCAACATAGATTAAACATAGTTAACCTATTGATTGTATACTAGTCAGAAAGCGCACAAGAATACGAGAAGAATATAATAGAGGCCTATTTTTAGAGCAAGTTCAATATCTTTTAGGTTAGATTTGTACCTTCATTCCCGAACTTCCAGTCTTAGTTTCAGACCTATTGGAGTTAACGATCTCATGTATCGTTAATGGATGTAACCTTCACCCTGTGAACGGTTTACAAGTTCCTAAAACTTGTTGGTGACTCTTTCACTCTATCTTCCTTCCCTTTGAACGCCACCTTGCTTAATTATATGATCACAGTGGGGCTCAAATGTGGGATGACTTGAAATATTCCCTACAGACGACAATTAGGAGAAGTCAACAAAAGGTAATAGATGTTTTTTTTTTTCTTATAATCAAAAGGTAATTGATGTTCCGAATTCATTATTAGTGCACACAAGTCAAAGCCAATTATTAGTGGTTACAAGTCAAACATAATTATTCAACTCAGAATATTAACATCATAAGATACTACATAGTGTCCACTGACCATAATGTAGTATTATGATTCAAAGGTATGTAATATCACTTAATGGAACATCAAGACCTTCTATGCAATTGGGTGGAATGTGGTGCTCATAACGTGTTATAAAATAAGGAGAAAGAGAGAACATTAGAAAGTGATGTAAATAGGTAATTGTGTTCTATTTATCATTTCAATAGACCATGTATATATACACGATGAGCATAAGTTAACCTTCATGGACAATTAAGGTTCCATTTAAGTAGGGGTTACAAAGAAGGTAATGGCAAATGAGGGTTACAAGGAGGTTACAATGGGTAGCATTTTACTAAAGGTGTTACAAGCCGATAATAATTTTATAATAAACCGATAATAATTTTGTCTGAACCAAAACTAACCCATCGGCCAATTAAAAATTTCAACTGACCTATTTTAAATCAAAACGGTTCCAAACCAAAACGAAACCAAACTGATTAACCGTTTTGACCGTGTTAGTTTTATGGGCCGAGATGCACTCTACAAAATGCTTCAACAAGGTCGACTAATCTGACAAGGTGTTTTAAGCTATGGCAAATTGGCAAACCTTGTCAAAAAATTAAAAAATTAAAAAAAAAAAAAAAAAAAAAAAAAAAATCCAACCAACCAACAACCAATGAGATGGACTACGGTCCACCTATATTCCAACCATTTTTATAAATAAATAACTCTTACTAAGCTTTAATGCTATTTTTTTTTTAAGTTCCCACTAGATCTACGATCTGTCGATCCCACTTGAAAAATAAAAACATCAGATTCATTAATCCCAGAAACATCCGTCTAACAATTAACTTCATCTTTGCTTATTTTTCACATATTCACATTCCTTTAAAGTTAGTCTTAAAATAGACTAACCCCACCTCGCCGAGGCGCCCTCACACCTAAACCGTCACAATGTTAAACACCAACATCATCTCATCTGCCCTATATTTGATCTTATTATCCTCTCATCTTGGCCATACCCTTTGTCAGTCCAGATCCAATGACAAAACCATCATCCTGCTCGCCGGGCAGAGCAACATGGCGGGCAGAGGTGGTGTGATCAATGACCAATGGGACGGTATAGTGCCCGATGACTGCAGTCCAACTTCATCGATCCTTCGCCTCAATGCGAAACATCAATGGGTTGTAGCGACGGAGCCGCTTCACCGTGACATTGATACAAATCATACTTGTGGGGTTGGGCCAGCGATGTCGTTGGCCCACGCAGTTGTGAGGAAATCTTTTGGCATTAGAGAGGTGGGGCTGGTGCCTTGTGCCGTGGGTGGGACTAATATTAGTCACTGGTCTCGTGGTGGTCATTTGTATAATCAGTTAGTTAGAAGGGCAAAGGGTTCGTTGCGTGATGGTGGGACAATTCAAGCTTTGGGTTGGTATCAAGGGGAGAGTGATACGCTCTTAAAGCAAGATGCTGATGCTTATAGAAGGAGATTGTTGAAGTTTTTTTTGGATTTTCGGACTGACCTTCAATCACCTATGCTTCCAATTATCCAGGTATGTAAACAGTGATAAATCAATCTTCAAGAACCGCAATATTATTTTGAATGTGAATCAGTCTGTTAAAGAATTTGTATTTACTTATCAATCAATTACATTATACTAAAAGCGAAACATAGAGAACATTTGGCAAAATATTGTAAAATGTTTTCTCTCCAAAACCACAATATTTCATACTTTTTACTACTAAGTCTATTTATAATATTTATATCCATTATTTTTGGTAAAATTTATTGTCACTAGAATTATTTAACAGCCGTGCATTGCACGGGGTTTAATCTAGTTATGTACTATTTATGTAATCCTACATTTAAATTTGGATTTTTCCGAGCTATGCCCCTGGTTTTTTCGATTTCTAAGCTTTATCCATGCATTTTCAAAGTTATAAATTGTGCCTTTCACCTCATTGATATTTTATCAACAATACCCTTTGGAAGCCATATTCGTTAACAAAAATGAAGTTATTTTATCAACAATGAAATTGTGGCGTTATTAATTTGACACGTATTCCGTTCTAATTGGTTTAACTTTTTAAAAAAAATTTAAAATCAGAAAATGAAATAATAAAAAAAGGTTATTGTTAACGTCAAAGATTATTGTTAATAAAAATTTAGTGAGGTTAAGGGGCACATCTTAGACGTTTGAAAGGCATGCACACAACTTATAAACCGAATAAGTTTGGAGGCATAACTTTGATAAACTTAAAAACACTTTAAATTTTGACAGTTTGCTATGAGTAGACAATATTTACTACTCCGTATTTACATAATTAGCCTTGCGTTTTGCTAATACAAGTGTGCTTGTTTGGTTCATATGGGTATTATTTTCCCATGAAAAATGCTATTTTTAGGAAATTACTATTTTTATAAACTTTCTGGGAAATACTAGAGAGTAGTAGCTTGGTAGTTTTATGTAATTTATTGGAAAAAACGTGGGATTTCAACTATTAATCTCAACCAAACTTCTATTTGCGCAAGCACTTAGAGCACCTAGATCATATTTTGCTAATTTGACACGGTAACGGACACAGTTCTAATATTTTGTACTCCATAAATTTGTGGGAAGGCTAACAGGAGTATAGGACTCATATAGTCATATATTGGGACATGAGGACCATGAGGTTACTAAATCGGGTATGCAGCCACAAATTATGGTATACTGCCAATCAATCTATGATAACTCTTGACAAAATGACTCAAATTATTAATGGTGGGGCTCAATGTATTTTCCTGCAATAATAGCTGAAAGTTCTTTTTATTTGTTTTTTTTTTATTATTATTTATTTATGTATTTATTTTATTTGTATATTATTATTATTATTAACCTTATTATTAACCTTATTATTATTATTAGGGCTTGTTTGGTTGATGTAGGAAGTAAATTCCCATGGGAAATTCTAATTCATGGGAAATTACTTCCTTTATTAAAATTCCTAAGAATTACATAAATATGTTTGGTTGTCATGTGGGAATTTATAAATCAAGGGAATTGTGAATGACTAAGAGAGGGGTGGGTAAGTAACTTCCCATGTTTTGTAGGAAGTGAAAATTCTCATAAATTATGATTTCCCCCATTTTTACTTTTTAATGTCAACCAAACAACATACCCAAAAGGAAATTCATGGGAATTTTGAGTGCCCATGGAAATTAAAGGCAACCAAACAAGCCCTTAGTATGTTCATTATTATTATAATTATTATTGAGTGAATTTTTGGATAGAGAAAATTGTGAAAAAAAACTTTTTAAAATGGTCGACTTTTTGAAAAATGACCTTTTAAGTTGTTATTTGTTTGTATGAGGTACTTGGGTGAGCTTTCGAGGTGGTCAATGTCGGAGCTTCGACGTTGACTATCAAATGTTAGTCACGTGTCTTATTTAAAAAAAAATTAAAAAAATTTCCCAAATTTCCCCCCTTTCTCGACCTCCGTGAGAATACTATATGAAAAGGTTAGATCGATAAATGAGTGGAATTAAAAAAAGACACGTGACTAATATGTGATAGTCAACCCCGAAGCTCCAGTGTTGAGCCGTTGATCACAATGCAAGCTCACCCAAGTACCCCATACAAACGAAATAAAACTTAAAAGGTTCTTTTTCACAAGTTTTCATTTAAAAGGTCCTTTTTAAAAAAGTCGACCACTTAAGAAGTTTTGTTTCCCAATTTTCTTTTTTGGATATTGACATAGTCCTTTATCATTTGTCAAGTTTGAAAATTAAAAAAACTTATCGTGTAAAATACTTTTATACAAATTGGTTAGAGCTCCCTTTACGATTTTAGAAATTCTTGAGATCAATTCTCATCACCAGCCATTATGTCTTTCTAAACACCAAAAAAAAAAAATTACGAATAAGATCAATATACTGCAAACAATGATATATTAAAGTAATAGTCAGCTAGCTAAAATTATTGTATGATGTTATTGCTCAATAATTGATTGTGGAATTTAATTAAATGATTTCTGCTGCGTAGAAAGCTAAGATAACTTTGTTGGATCTCCTAGAATTTTTCTGCTTATTTCATTCTTTTGTTGCTTCAATTGCATCTATACACCCGAGAATCAGTAGTCTGTTGTAATGGAAGCAGCTAATATTGTAACCAAATTTGTCCCGCGTTCTCTGTTTGCCAAATCGATAATTGTTCCCAAGCTGTAATTTCTGTGCAAATGACTTATAACTAATATATTAAAAAGAAGAGGAAACATGCTGTGTTAGTGATAAGAAAGGCCAGATGAAATTTATTCCTTTCATCCTACAGTAATATACAGAGTAATTATTTGCAGCCCAAAAATTTACCCCTAATCTCTTCAAATGAGTAGGCATATTCGGCAGACTTAGGCTAATATGGATTAATGCGGTAGTAATACTACCTACACCGAGAATCACTTAGGTGTGATGGCTTATATATCACCCAAATTATTGATGATATGTATGATATTTTTTTATTACATTTACACTGACAATAAATTATTTGAAGTGCCATGAATATGAGGAACATATGTTCTGCTGCCAAGTAGAACTCTGTCTCCCCTTGACTCCTTGAGTCCTTTAACCTTTCAAGATATTTCCTATTAAGGCTGAAGCGCGTTTACAATATTTGTTGCATACAGGTAGCCATAACATCAGGAGACGCGCGTTTCATAGAAGAAGTGAGGCAAGCTCAGATGGGAGTTGATCTTATGAATCTCGTGACAGTCGATGCCAAGGGACTGCCTTTGGAGCCAGATAATCTTCATCTCACTACACAAGCACAGGTCGAACTTGGAGAGAAATAGGCCCATACCTTTTTGCAGTTCCTACCAGTACATGTACAAAGTAATGCTGGCAGTTTCTTAGTACAAAATGATGCTGCTAATATTTTACATAATAATTTCTTATACACAGCCCTTATTGCTTTGATCTTGATTTTTCTTAGATTGCAATAGCAGTACATAAACATTATTTTTTTCATTTTTAAATCCTCTACTTTGTTAACATTAAAATATTTTATTTGCTGTACAAGAAATGATATTGATATAATGATTTTTTTTTGGCAAAAACCTTCTTGTATTTCAAATGTACTGTTAGTGTTAATTTCATAAACCTGTACAAAATTGTCTATTTGACATACTCAAACTATCCCTTACCTTCCTACACTTATTTAAATAAGAAAATTACAGATAATAATATTGGAAAGATGTGAAATATAGTATATATATATATATGATTCTTTATCTATGGAAAAAAAAAAATTTAAATTTTTAGGAAGCTTTCAAGATTCAAGGTTTTGTAGGGAGACCATGGAAACTATACAAATAATGACTCCACCTTTGGATACACCTTTGATAGTTTGGTGTACAAAATCATGCCATTTTCGCAACAAGTTTAGGCATGTTTTAAGGGTAGTGTTCTTTTGGATGAATTAAAATTTGTTACCAAAAAGAAAGAAAATTACAACCATTAACAACCAAATCAATTTTCATATGTATAGCAATAACCTAAACTAATTGAGCTTTCCAAAATACACGAGCAATTAGGAAATTCTTAACAACAATTGTTGGTAGTAGTTATTCCAATAACATATAGCAAATTCGAATTGATTCTCTTTCCTAATTAATTTCATATGAAAATGACGCTAAATACGGAGTAATAAATATTGATGCTACTCTATATAACAAAATGTTATTGTCTCTTAGCCAAAAATAATTTAATATACAGAGATTAACATGACAATAACCAAGCTAACTATCATGCTTTTCTTATTCAATGTTGCACCAACCTATGCAGAGTTACCGCAGGACATATTCATCCTAGCGGGCCAAAGCAACATGGCTGGCCGTGGTGGAGTCACGAACGGCAGATGGGACGGGTTCGTACCACCTGAGTGCCAGCCCAGCCACAATATCCTTCGTCTTGATGAGCAACAGAGTTGGGTGCCAGCTCATGAACCACTTCATGTGGACATCGACCTAAATAAGACTTGCGGTATTGGCCCTGGCATGGCGTTCGCCAATGCCGTTGAATCGCTTGGTGGATCAGCAAAATTTGGTGTCTTGGGCTTGGTCCCCTGTGCTGTAGGTGGGACAAAGATCATTCAATGGGAAAGAGGAACGAACTTTTACAATCAATTGGTGACACGGGCTAAAGCGGCCATGATAGGCGGTGGCAGAACCCGAGCCGTGTTGTGGTATCAAGGGGAGGCTGATACGGTCAAGCTTGAGGATGCTAAAGCTTATGGAGGGAGGATGGAGAATTTTATCTCTGATTTGCGTTCTGATCTTGGAGACCTATCTCTCTTAATAATTCAGGTAATTAATAAACTTCGTCATTTGGTTAATCAATCTTAAGAATCGTACCATAGGTTTTTGTTTGGACTTTTTGTGATAAACTAATTTATGTACATCAAGTTTTGTGAAAAACTACATTATTAAAAAAAAAAAAAAAAGAAAAAAAGTAGTTGTAAGAAATTGAACTTTCTTTATATACATTAATAATTCTTATATGCATAATTACTTCTATAACAACCTTACTCATTTCCACAAGACTATTCTACTAAGTTCTTCAACTTCATTATGGCAAAACTACATAATTACGTCTTATAGTATATCATACACGAATATGTTTATTGTATTGTTCTTATTTTATTTTTTTACTTGCAATGATTTGTACATTTCTTATCAAACGAATAATGAAATACTATTATATAACTGTGTATGTTCTTTTTACCTTATTTGGTTTTAACTAAAATTTTGTTTACTGACACTATTATTTTAAATTATTTTTATCGAACCGAAATTACTTTTGCCGACTGAAATTATTATTACAGAACTTAAATTATTTTTAATAACTTAAAATTAATTTTACTGTAGTGAAAAAAATATTTTTACTGATTATCTATTATATTTTATTTTAATGTTACTGATTTGTATTAAACTGAAATTTTTTAAGCTAACCTTATTTTTACTACACTAGAGTTATTTTTTTATAGAACGTGTTTTTAAGGTAAAGAGAACATGATCTAAAAATGAACGAGGGAGTGTAGTAAAAAAAAAAACACTTATCAATATAGAGTGAGATGTGTAGTATTCACACTAAGCTATTGTAGAAGAAACCTCCCTAATTCTTCTCTATATTACATATCCTAAAACAAAAGATCGAAAAATACATCATATTTTCTTTAATTTTATTAATTCTGTTTGCGGATTGAATCTGTCAATACTATTTCAGGTGTGTTCTTTTCACCTTATTTCGTGCACCTAAATCTTTCTGAACGTGACTTAACTAAAATTATCTGAACTTAACTGAGCTTATATGAACTTGTTTGGGCCGAGTCCATTGTCCTAGGCCCATTGACTTGGAATTATGAAAATACCCATCCATGATCCAGCCCATCATTAGTTAGAGTAAAGTACAGATTTACCCCTAATCTGTCCAATTAATTACAACTTCTGCCACCTGAAAGTACATCTATAAATAGCTTTCCAATAATTAATAATGATAACTTTTTTAATCCTCTAACCTTCTCTCTCTAATTTCTCTCTCTTAAGTACTCCCTCTCTCTAGAAAGTACATTCGCTGACTTAAGCAATAGAGTGGCTTTCCTAGGCCCCCGGGGCCCCCTCTCTTTTGCAGGCGTAGCTCTCGAACAGCAAGGCGGAGCTGAAGGAAATTTGGACATTGATTGGACTTAGCCTTAAGACATCTTGATATTATTACCCTAACACCAAGGAGTATTCTGTTTTCAGTAACATGTGGCGCCGTCTGTGGGAATAACTAACAAGAAGTCATGGTGAACACTAGGCGTTTCCGCATCACATATCAAGATGCTACTAGACAAGCTCCATTTCTCTCGGCTAGGCATCCCCATATAGTCGAGGAGGTGACCCCCCAGGCTGGGAGCGACCCCGTAGGCGAGGTGAACAGCCCCCAGGTAGTCACCCGCCGATACTTGGATCCGCTGGCAACCCAGATCAACAGGAACCTTAAGGAAAGCCCGAGGGCACTTGTCAACCAGGGCAGGGGGCAAAGTAGGCAGGGTAACACTCCACAGCTTAACCCCCAACCTCACATATCACATCTCCATCAAGCCTCCTCTCGGCCTTAGCATTAGGAATCTCATCGCTTTCAACCACATCAGTCTCCCAACCCCCAACGGGAGTCAAGGCAGCCAAACCGTTCAAGAGATGCAAGAGAGATAATAAATGACCGAAGGCTGAGGGAAGGAACTCTAGATGCCTGAGAGATAATCAACTCCAGGTGGGAGAACTCAAAAGAAGAAGATGATCCCCCCCAGAGAGGTCGAACCAGGGTTCACTCTCGGCACGGATCAACATGGTACCAGAACAACTTGGTTAACTCATCTACTTCAAGACTGAAGGGAAGGACTTCTTATCCCACTCGTTCAGCAAGCAAGAGTCCTGAGCGTCCTTCCTCCCCCGGGCCGAGGAGGCTTGGGATTGTCAAGAAAATTACCCCCTTAAGCCATGAGATAATGAATATCCTCATTTCTCTTAAGGTCAAAATCCCCATGTTTGACCCATTTGATGGAAATTCAGACCCAACGGACCATTTGAACGCTTACAAAGCACCAAATGGGAGTCCCAACAGGGTGTGAAGCCTCATGGTGTAGATTCTTCCCTACCACTCTCAAAGGCATAGCTCAGACATGTTTCAACAACCTTACCCTAGGGAGCACAAGAACGTTTGACATGCTGGCTGCCAATTAAAAAAGCATTTCATCCTTGGGAGTAGGCAAACAAAGACTAGTGTTCATCTAATGATGGTGAAGCAAGGAGAGAATGATAGTCTTAAAGACTATATCAAGAGGTTCAACACCGAGTCTATGCTTATCCCCGAACTCCAAGATAATGTTTCTTTCACAACCCTTCTCTTCAGACTCAAGTCCAACAAGCTGAAATTTGAACTTGTGCATGATAAAGTCATTACCTTCTCTGAAGCCATAGAAAGGGCTGAAAGAATCATTGAAGCAAGTGAGGTGTGCAAGGCACTCGTGGTTAACAACAAGGGGAAAAGAAAGCAAGAAGATAACTATCATGAGAACAAGAATAGAAGGTCGAGGAGGGCTAAGATTAATGATGAAGGACTCAAGTACGACGCTGATAGGCGTGAGATTTATTTGGATATAAAAAACAAGGCTATCCTCTCCAAGCCTAATCCAATGAATACGCCGATAGAACAAAGGAGCAAGAAGTTCTTGTTTGAATACTATAAGGAGTGCGGTCACACCACCCGAAACTGCAGAGAACTCAAGAGAGCCTTGGAAAAGCTAGTAGAAGAAGGAAAGCTTAACCTATATCTTAAGTTCCCCCCCCCCCCCCCCGAAAGATAAAAAAAGAAGCAAGGCTTCCAAGGTTGTGCAGGAAGCCCATAGCTCAGCTGAAACCAACATGATAATCAATGTCATAGCCAGAGGATTTTCCTCCAGGGGTTTGTCTAACAGGGCACGCAAGGGTCATTTGCGATCGCTTGAAGAACCTATCTACGATATTGTCACTCCCTCATCCACCCCGAAAAACCTCCTCATGGTGTTTGGGGATGATAATTCTAAGAAAATTCAAATGCCCCATGATGACCCTCTAGTGATCCATATGAAGATGGCTAATGCTAAGGTCAAGAACATCTTAGTGGATAGTAGGAGTCCAGCTGACATTATTACTTAGAAGTGCCTAGAACAAATGCGTTTTGGCAGGGGAGACCTCACACCCTTAGACAAACAATTAGTTTGCTTTGGCGGGCAACATGTTTACTCCCTAGGAACGATCAAGCTACCCGCCCGCTTGGGGGAAAAGAAGAAGGGGAGGAGCTTGGTACACACGTTCTTAGTAGTGGATACCCCTCTTCCATATAACATGATTATTGGCCAGCCTCTATTCAACAGGGTCAAAGCCGCAATCTCAAATTATCACTTGCTCCTTCAATTCAAGATATATGATGGCTCGGTAGGGAAAATATATGAAGATCAGTTTGAGGGAAGGAAATGCTAAGTAGATATCTTGAAGTAACCTGAGGACTCAGTCAATCAAAAAGATAAGGGGGCCAAGCGGAAGGCAATGGATGTTGATGAACCCCAGCTCCCCATAATGAACATCTACATGACTGAGAATCTTAAGCAATACGGTAGGCCTAAGCATATTGAGGAGGATGAAAGAATACCTTTGAGGGATGACCCCGCTCGGACTGTGAGAGTGGGAAAGAACTTAGACCCCCAGCTCAAGAAAAAAATAATTCAAGTGCTTAGAGAATTTAAAGACATCTTCGCTGTTACATCAGAAGAAATGTCGGGCATAGAACCCGAAGTGATGATGCATGAGCTGAATATCAGGAAGGGCTACAATCCCATCAAGTAGAAACTCTGACATGCCGGGCCAGAGAGAAACAAATCTGCAGCTGCTGAGGTCAAGAAGGTTCTCGAAGCAGGTTTCATTTGAGAATGCCAATATATCGAGTGCCTATCTGATGTTGTGCTTGTTAGGAAGCCAAATGGCTCTTGGCGTATGTGTGTGGACTTTACAGATTTGAATAAGGCATTTCATTGCTGGTTGGTGGATTTCATCGCTGGTCACACCCTCCTAAGCTTCATGGATGCCAATGCGGGGTATCATCAGATACCCATGTCAGAAAAAGCTCAAGCCCACACGGCCTTCATCACTAGCCAAGGGGTATACTGTTATAATGTGATGCCATTCGGCTTGAAGAATGCCGAGGCTACATACCAGCGCCTGATGAATAAAATCTTTGAAGGGTAGCTAGGCTAGAATGTTGAAGCTTATATTGATGCCATGATTATTAAAAGCAAAAAGAGCTCATACCATATAGCAGACCTAAAGGAGACATTCACTACCCTTAAAAAATATAAGATGAAGCTCAATCCCAGCAAGTGTGTCTTCGGGGTACAAGGAGGAAAGTGCCTGGGCTTTATGGTTGATCATTGTGGAATTGATGCCAACCCAGAAAAAATCTAGGCCATCCTTGACATGGAATCCCCCCAAAATGTGAAAGAGGTGCAACGCCTTACAGGTTGCTTTGCTTCGTTGGGGCAGTTTCTATCCCGATGAGCTGACAAGAGAAAGCCTTCCAGCAATTAAAAGAGCATTTGATGAACACCCCGAAGCTCGTCAGCCCCTTCCCTAGGGTAAAATTGTTCGTATACTTAGCCATATCAGACTATGCCCTGTGTGCGGTTCTTGTTGCCGAGAAAGAAGAAGGCCAAGTACCCGTCTACTTTGTCAGCCATGCCTTAAGGGGGGCTGAGACACGGTATACTTTCGTCAAGAAAGTGGTGTACGCT